TGATGCTATGAAAGAAAATGAGCAGGTGCCCAGAAAGTGAGGGTACTGGGGGAATGGGGCAGGCATCCGGTTTGCAGAAGGGAAGGCAGGGGGCAACAGTGGCCATCCCACTGCAAGAGGGCCAGGCCTACATGGAATGGAGACATATGTCCACACAAAAACTTATGCACAAAGGTTCACAGCAGCATTATTCATAATAGCCAGAAAGTGGAAACAAATTCTATCAGCAGATATACAGATAGACAGTGCAGCGGGTCCACGCAGTGGAATATTATTCAGTCATAAAAAGGAGTGAAGCGCTGACAGAGGCCATCTCGGGGATGAGCCTTGAGAACATCACGCTGAGTGAAAAAAGCCAAACACAAAAGGCCACATACTGTCCGATTCCATTTACATGAAGTGTCCAGAATAGGCAAATCCATACAGACAGAAATCAGATTAGTGTCAGGGGCTGTGGGGAATGGGAAATGGGAAGTGACTGCTAATGGGGACAGGGTTTGAGGGGGTGATAGGAAATTGTGGTGATGGTTGTACCACCATGAGCATGATAAAACATGGAACTGTGTGCTTTAAATGGATGAAACAAGTGGTATGTGAAATTATGTCTCAACAAACTGTTTTTTTAAAAGGCAGGAAAGAAGGGAGGAAGAGAGGGAGGGAGGGAGGAAGAAAGGAGTCTGGGACGACAGTCTTAAGTTCAGTAGAGCATGTTGGCAGGAGAAGGCAGCTGGAGACCCAGGTCGGGGTGTGCGGTTGGGGGAGCAGTGCAGTCCGCAGCTCGGTTGGCCTGGAAATGTCATCTGCTATCACTGGTCAGGGTGTGGGCTGTTCAGGTCCATCTGCTGACCAGATGAAAGTCAACAAGGAACCAGCAGGGGACAGCAAAGGACCGCACAGACCCACAGACAGGAGCCCTGGCTGTGTGGTGCACCCCGTCCCCCACCATGTGTGGAACCCCAGCCTCTGCACCTCTCTTTACCTTTCTGGGTGCTCAGAGAGTCCACCCAGCTGCCCAGCCCAATACAATGGGTGGCTCCCTCCCTCAGTCTCCCTGGGACAGGCACCAGAGCCTGCCATCGAAGTCTCCTGAGATCTGTGCTCCCTGTCTCTACGGTCCAGGCCTGCACCAGGCCTGCTCTCCCTTCCCCCTCACCTTCCCAGCCTCCCTCCCATCCTCCCGCCACAAGTCATCCCAAAAGACCTTTCCAAAGCCCAAACTCAACACTGCCCTTTCCTGCTCAGGACCATCCATAGCTCCCCAGGGCCTCTCACCACAGCCTTCAACTCCCTGAGAGGCTAAGCCTCCCTCTGAGCATCCCTGCCCCTCACCCCTACCCTGTGGTCTGTGGTCCCCCAGACTGAACTGGCAGACCCTTGGACATACTGTTCCTTCTGCCTGGAGCTTGCCCACCACTCCACTCTACTCACCCTACCCTGTTCATCCTCTAGGGCTCAGCTCAGACACCGCTTCCTCCAGGAAGCCCTCCCTGACCATCAAGTTGAGTCAGGTCCCCTTTCTGAGTTCATCCACCTCAGCCCTGCTCACTCTGGATTGTCACTGTCTGCTGTCTGGTTTGTCTCCCTACTGGACAGGGAACCCCCTGGGAGGGCAGGGTCAGGGCTATCTTGGTCACCCTTGGGTCCCAGCTCCACCCAGCATGGAGCAGGCACAGGGCAGGGGCTCAAGGAAGGTATGTGTGTGGATTCTCATTATCTATCTCTTCCCCTTTCTGTACCTAGCAGTTTCCATTCACTGACAAGCATTTATTGAGCAATTACTGTAGACCAAGCTCTGTTGAAGGAACTCAACTGGGCACCAGAGACATGAAGATTCACCAGATCAGCCCCTACTCTTAGGGAGCTTGCCACCTAGTGGGGGAGGCAACATGCAGCCTGATTCAGAGAGAATTCATAGCAGACACTTATTGAGCACCTACTGTATGCCATGCGCTGCACTAAATGCCCTACATTAATTATTTTGTCCTCACAGTTTTGTGAGGAAAGTACTATGATTATCTATATTTTAAAGATGAGGAAACTAAGGCTAAGAAAGGTCAGATTAGAGGTTGTAAATGGACAAACTGAAGATGGAACCAAAGGTTTTCTAACACCCAGGTTGTACCATCTGTTCCTTCCAGTCTGGAAGGATGAAAGACCCAGATGTCATCTGTGCCCACAGAAATGTTGGGGTCCATGCATCCAAGCAGAGGGGTCTGCCTTCTACAAGCGGGCCCCGAGGAGAAGACAACGCTTAATGCAAAGAAGCTATCACACCAATGGGGGCATTTCAGGCACAAGTGTTTGGCCCAGTTAGGAAGAGACACCATCCTTGGCTGGAACTAGGTGCCCCGGCTCCTTCGCTGCCCCACCCAGGCTCTGCCCACCAGGGGCCCCTGCCCACCACCACCGCCACCTTCCTGTGAGTCCCCCACACCAGTGATTCCTGATTCCCAGACTGTAGCTCCAAGTTTTACAAATGAAGAAGTGGCTGCCTGGGGAAGGAAGTGGGCTGGGCCAGGATCAAGGATGGTTATGATTCATGGGGAAAAACCCTTCCCTCCGGAATGCAGCCCCTTTGTGTGCAAAGTGCATTGCCCTCTGAAAGGGTCTGGCACGGTCAGTGGTCTAGACGGACTGACAGCCCGGGTGTCAAGGCACTCTCTCCATCACTGATGGGGGCCAGGCTTTTTCCTACCCCTGGGGAGGCAGGGGATGAGTTTAGACTGAGGTATTTCTGTCTGCTGTACACAGTGGGGGTTCCATGGAGATTGTTTGAGGTAAGCATACCATTGCCAAAGCAAAAATTTCAAAATATGGAGCCATTTTTAGGTCCTGCCATGAGGAAACTCCAGGGTGAGAAAAGTATTCTATAACTAGATTCGGGTGGTGCAAGGTGAATTTCACGGTATGGAAATGATGTCCCTATACACAATGGAATATTATTCAGCCGTAAAAAGAAAAGAAATAGTGCCATTTGCAAGAACATGGATGGAGCTAGAGGATATTATGCTCAGTGAAATAAGCCAGGCAGAGAAAGACAAGTACCAAATGATTTCACTCATATGTGGAGTTTAAAAACAAAGAAAAACTGAAGGAACAAAACAGCAGCAGACTCAGAGACTCCAAGAAGGGACTAGTGGTTACCAAAGGGAAATGGGTGTGGAGGCTGGATGGGGAGAGAGGGAGAAGGGGATTAAGGGGCACTATATTTGGAGATCACAGTATAGGTAGGTCACGGGGAAGGCAGTCCAGCCGGGAGAAGACAAGTAATGACTCTATAGCATCTTGCTACGCCGATGGACAGTGACTGCAGTGGGATGTGGGGGGGACTCGGTGATATGGGTGAAGGTGGAACCACAGTGTTGTGTATTTGAAGCCATTGTAAGATTGTTTGTCAATGATACTTTAATAAGACAAAAAGAAAAGAAAGAAAATGATGTCCCAGTGAAGCTGACAAAGAGACAATGACATTTATGAGACGATTGGAAATTTGAACATTGACTAGGTATTTGGAAATATTATGGAATTCTTCATTTAATTCATTCTGTAAGGGAAAATAGGACATTGTTTTTTTTAATGAGTTCTTATCTTTGCGAGGCACAGGCTAAGTATCCATGAATAAAATGATAAGGATGGCTGGAATTCGCTTTCGTATAACACGGGAGGGCGTGGGTGGGGTGAGGAAACGAGGTTGGCGTGAGCTGAGCCGGAAGACATTGTTGTTCCCTGGACTTTTGCTAAGTGTGTGAAATTTGGAAATTTTCCAAAATAAAAAGTTTTAAATTGTTTTTAACCGTAACTCTAAATCCAAGTCCAACCCCTTCCCATATTCCTGATGGACAAAATGAGGCTCAGAGAGAGGAAGGACTTCTAGCCCAGTGCCCCTTCCCAGGCCCTTCCGAACCTTAAGGGGTCCCCGCTTTAAATCCCTAACTCCTTTCACTTCCTGCCCTCCACCACCTTTCCAGAAAAGCCCAGCCTCTCTCACTTACCAACCCAGCCCTCTACAGACAGCACCTCATCCCATACCTAGACCCTTCCCTGAGTCCTTCATTGGCTCTCTTGCCCTTACTGGGCCTTACATGACCTAACTGTCTCTCCTGGGCCAGCCTGCATCAAAAGTCCTACCCTCTGGGTCCCCTGCTCCCTCTGTAAACACCTCCTCCCACCACCAGCACCAGGCTCCTTGCTATCCTCACACTCACCAAAGACCTTCCTGCTACAGGGCCTTTGCACTTGCTGTGCGTTCTGCCAAAACACTCTTGCGTTCTGTTGCCTTCTCAGGCCTCAGTTCAAAGATTCCCTCTTCAGAAAGGCCCTTCCTGACTGCGCCTAGCTAAAAGAACAGCCCCTGTCCCTCCCTATCTTTTTGCCCTATTTTATTTTTTTATAGCACTAGTATCTCCCTGACTTGATAGGCTGTATCAGTGTCTTGATGATTGCTCATCTCCCTCCCGCAGCATTAGCCGCACAGGGGAAAGGATGTCACCTGTGTTCCCAGCACAGATGAAAATATAGTCAGTGCTCAAAAAATATTTGTTTAGTGATTAAATGACTTGGAAAACCCCAGGTGAATGAGGTGGGAAGTGGATATCCAGGCAAAGGGAACAGCCTGGGCCAAAGACTGAGGCTTGCTCCTCTGATCCACCCGGTCTGGCCTGCATGGTAGTCTGGGGGCTCTTTCTAGGGGGAGGAATGAAGGGCACATGGGGTCCTTTCTCCCCAAGAACAGCCTCCCCAGGACCAAGCCCAGACCTTGCCAGGCCAACACAGGAAGCCACACCCAGAGGTCAGCTCCATAAATAAATATTGCAGCAACCTCAGCCTCACCCTTGCCCTGCAGGATAAGCAGGGAAAAAGGGGCTAGACGGGGGTGTCAGAAACCGGCTTCAGCCTTCCTACGCCATTAGCTGTGGCCAATCCCTCAGTTCCAAGGTCCCTGCCCCAGGAGGGTGGGACAAGGGTCATGCCAACCGGCCCAGGCCACTGTTTCCACCTAACAAATATTGATTGAGGCAGTGGCAGGTGGGGTCCCAGCAGGGAGCCACAAGGAGGAGGCCCTGGGTGGCTCTGGCCCCTGGGGGAGGCAGGTATAGAAGCTCTTCCCAGCTGCCATGTGGAGAAGGTAAGACTTGCTGCTCCAAACTTCTGAGGCGATGGCCCTGGCCTCAGTTTCCTTGTCTGCACAATGGGTTCGCGGGGAGGGAAGGGTGGATGAGAGGACAGGTACAGCTGAGGATGTCAGAATAGGTAACAGTATCCTTAGTGAAATGTGTCAGTGACCCGCCAGCACCACCTCCTGCCTAGTCCACGCCCTGCAATAGATACAAGTCACATGTACGACTGAGCATGAAGGAAAGTGCAGAAAAAACAGGTGACGTGGATTTACTTAAGTCGACACATGCAAAATGTTATCATCTCAACGTGGAGTCACTATAAAAATGAATGAGCTATTTTACATTCTTCTTTTTTTTTTTAGTCAGCAATAAGTCTTCAATATCTGGAGTGGATCTTTCACAGGGATCATCTCAATTTGGATAAGCTAACGGACAGGTCAGGTAGACGACCATTGTCACCTCCTCACAGCCTCCCAGAATCTGCCCTCTGCCCCTCATCTGCTCCCCACATGTGTCCACACAGCCAGAGGGTCCTGTTAACACCTACGTCAGCTCCCGTCCTTCCCATTCTCAGAGTCTCAGTGGCTCTGATCTCAGCATAAAAGCCAAAATCCTCCCCAGGCCCATGAGGCCCTGCAGGATCTGCCCCCATTCCCTCTCTACTCTCCCACGATTACTCTGCTCAGGCCTCACTGGACTCTTCCCTCTTCCTCACACTTACCAAAACATTCCTGCCACAGGGCCTTTGCACCTGCTGTGTCCACTCCCTGGAATGCTCCTCCCCTAGATTCAACATGCCTCCCTTATTGAGTCGCTACTGCAGTATTGGCTCCTGCAACATCTTCTTTCTGCCCTACATAAATCAGGGTCCCAGCCACCTCCTTTCTTTTTCCCCATAGCAATATCTCCATCTGATACAAAATGATATGTGTTTGTGTTTATTTGTCTATTGACTGTGTCACCAGACAAAAGGTCAACTCTACAGGGCTGGCATTTATGTCTGTCCTTTTCATGACTATAACCCAGTACCTAGCCCAGTGCTGGGTTCATGATAGCTGCTCAATAAACATCTGTGGAATGGTGAATAGACAATGGAACCCATGTACCCAGAGCCCCCAGGGCAGGCCCAGCATTGAGCCCCCCATGGGCCTGGTCTCCCTTTCCCCTCTGAGGAATCCCAGGGAGGCCTGTGGCACAGTCACCCACCTGCTTCACAGAGGCACAGCGCCTGCCCAGGACTGCCTGGTCTACTTCCTCCAGCAATGGGCCCGGCACACAGCTGTTGCTCAAAAAACCGTAGCTCTCGATGGGACCAAGGGTCCAGAGAGGGGCATGGGAGAGGGTTCTGGGCTGAATGGGGAAGGCCAAGGACACAGAGAAGGGTGGGTGTGATGTCGCGGGTGGGAGGCAGGCATGGTGGAGTCGGGACGGAAGCTGAGCTCTGCCCCAGTCTTCTCCAGCCTCGGCCTCATCACACTCCTGAGCCAGACAGCAAAGCGCCAGAAACCCAGGCCCCCCTCCGTGTCATCCACACCTGGTGTCTGGTTCCGCGAACACTCTCAGCTCCTGCTGTGTGCCCAGCCCTGTGCCTGGCCGTGCCAGGGACATGGCAGTGACCATGGTAGCCTGGCCCTGCCCTCCCAGGACTCACCGTCCAGCGGGGGAGACAGATCCAGTCCCTGACCATGAAGATAAGGGTGGTCGGGGCTGGGGTTGGGGATCCCAGGGTGCATTTAACCCAGCCTGATAGTCCTGGAGGGCTTCTTGGAGGAAGAAGATTTGCTGGGTGAGGGATGAAATAAAGCAGAAGCAAGCAGGAATAAGCTGGGTGCGGGGGACTCAAGGGAGGCAGGAGAACTGGAGCAGCGACTTGCCGGAAGGAAGGAAGGGCTCTCCTACGAGGCTGGGCAGGCCGGCAGGGGCCACACGAACCTCCATGAGAAGCTGGGCTTTCTCCTGAGGGTCCCGAGCAGCCATGCGGGCTCCGAGCACCATGGAAGGGGGCGAGACCAGGGCCAGAGACCAGGAGGAGTTGGGGAGGGGAACCAGACAAGGGGCAGCAGGGCACCTGGACCAGGGCAGGGGCCACAGGGACGGAGAGAAAAGGGCCCCCAGAAGGGAGGTTTAGGAGGCACAGGCCATGGGGCGTGGTGTGCTGGGACTGTGGGGAGACGTCAGGGGCGAGGCCTGGGTCTCTGTGTCCCAGTGACGGGTGGACAGTGGCGCCATCTGTGATGAGAGGACGGGGAGGAGAAGCAGGGCTGGGGGAAGACACCAAGGTCAGTCTGGGACAAGGCGAAGGAGAGGTGCCCAGGGACATGCAGGAGAGGCACCCTGAATGCACTGGGATGGGGCCCCAGGGCTCGGGGGAGAGGGCCGCGCCAGGACTGAACAGGGTGAGGTGAGGTCACTGGCGGGACAGGGGGTTGGTGGGGAGACAGGAGGCGCCAGGTTACTGACAGCCCCCCCTCGTCAGAGCCCCCGCCTACAAGGGCAGCTCAGGACGCCCGGTCCTGGAGGAACAAAGCGGAACAGCTGAGCCGCAGGTATGGAGATTGCCCAGGACCAGGCTGCGGGGGCCTCGGGGGGGAGCAGGACCCAGCAGCCAGGGAGATACCGGTCATAACACATCTGTGGGGGCCTGTCGTTCCCCAGACGTCCCTGTGGCCTTGGGTCCCCACCCTGCCCCCAATCCAAAAGTCCCAAAGCCCCTTCCTGGCTTTATTTTCTCCCCAACAACACGTACCTCCATCTGATACACATTTTACTTGTCTGTCCACAACTGTCAGCCCCACGAAGGCAGGGATTGCACCTGCCTGGCAGATACAGTGCCCAGCAGGGTGTCGATGCTTATCCAACACTTGCTGAATAAATGAATGAATGATGGAATATTTGCTTTGTGTCAGGCAGACATTGTTATAAGTTACTTCATGCAAGTTTACTCATTTAGTCCTCATAACAGCCCTCTGAGGTGGGTACTGTCATTCCCATTATACAGATGAGGAAAGTGTGGCCCAGCGGGCACCATAACCTGCCCCGGCTCATGGAGCAGGAAAGAGCAGAGCTAGGTGCGGGGCCCACACATTTAATACCTGTGATACCAGCCAGGCCTGGTGCTGGGGACCCAGCTCTGCCGGGTGCCGGCTAGATTCCTGACATGTAGCATTTCACTCACTGCTCTCAACAAACCTGAACAGAGTCAACACCAGCCCTGTTTGTCAGAGCAGAAAGAGGAGACCTGGCAAGGGGCTGCCCCTAGTCCCCCACTCTGGTGAGAGCAGAGCCACAGGCAAACCTGGGCTCTTCCTGGCCCCAAAGTCCCCAGATACAGGAAAACAAGGCCTCCAGAGAGGGAGGGAGAAAATGCGGATGTGTAGGCCCAGAGCAGGCAGCACCAGGGAGCAGAGCCCCAGGGACACTGCGCAGCCTCCCAGCCTCCCTCCCTTCTGTGTGGCTATGGAAACAGAGCAGGATTCAAATCCCCTCTCCCTGCAGGAACTTGGGCACGTCAGAGCCCCTGCCCAGGGCCTCCGTTTCCACAACTGCAAATGGAGGTTCTACCCGTGCCCACCGCACAGGACATCCCCTGAGATGACACCTCCAGGTCACACAGAAGTCACACTTGATGAGTTTGGCTCCTCAGTGACCCTCAAGCTCACCGGAGAGGCCAGGGTCTGGGCCATGGGTAAGAACTGTCCTGAAATCTTCCCCGCCCCTCCTCTCTCCTCCCCGGCGACCTGGTTCTTCTGCTGGTACCAAACCCAGGTCTTTGGTACAAAGAAGGTTAGGCGGTGCCCCAGGAGGCCTGGCTGGGTCGTGACCCCTGGCCGGTGCCTGCCCCACCCACTCTGGTACCCAAACAGGGCCCCAGATCCTCGGTGACTCGATCCCTCCAAATTCAGGTGATCTACCCCAGCTCCATATCGCCAAACCCTCCCAGGTCCTGCGCCAGACGGAGCCAAGCCCCAACCAGGAAGGGCCTCCGAGCACTGGAACACCAACGCCGCCGTCTTCAAGACCGGGTGTGGGGTGAAAGATGGCGCTGGCCGGGTGCAGCTGGCTCCTTCTCAGTGGTGAGCAACAGTGGTGTCCCCCAGAACCTCAGCCACCATGGCCTCAGGGAAGGGAGGGCACCCCAGCCCAGAGGAGTGGAGGTGGGAGCCAGCAGCCCAGCATGCTGGGCAGGGAGGGCAGCTCGGCTTCGCTCAGGTCCAGTTTGCCCCTCCAAGTGTGGGACGGGGCAGCCAGGGGCAGCCACCCAGAGACTTTGCCAAGTGACTTCAGAGATTTCTAAGACCTGGGCCCGAGGTAGGGTAAGGAAGCCACAGTCACTCTCCACCCACGTGGCAAACCCTTACTGAGCTGTGGAAGCTTGACTGCGGTGAGTTCTAACCAGCAGCCCTGCCCCTCCCCGAGGATGTGGCTTGAGGCAGTTGCCTTCCCCTTCTCAGCCTCAGTTTCCTCATCTATGAACTGGGCCTACCTCGCAGGGTCACTTCCAGGTCATTGTAATGAGCACTTTTTTACAAGCATTTACTAGCACTTACTATGTGCCCGGAGCTGCTCTAAATGTTTTTCATGTGTTAACAAACCCTGTGAGGGAGGCCCACTCATGACCCCCCTCACCACTTCACAGATGAGAAACCTGAGGCTCAGAGAGGTGAAGCCACTGGCCAGGGTCACACAGCCAGAAAGTGGCAGAGCTGAGTGCTAGACCGAGAGCCCCACCTCCTAGCCATGCTCTAGCAGACTGGAAAGTACCAGAAACCAAGCCAGGCATGCAAGTACTTCTTAGTGAGAACTGCCACAGCCACCCAGTCTGGTGTGTGGCCAGAATGGGTGGCCAGCCACACACAATTCAAACCCAAGCAGCCCTGACCAGCCAGTCGGGTTTGGGGCTTATCTGTTGGGCTGAGCAGGACCGGGGTGGAGGGTATCGGTCATGTCCCTCCCTTCTGCTGTGGTGGAGCCTGGAGGGGCAGAGGAAGAGCGCTGGACTGGGAACAGGACCCGGGGGCTGGAGGAGCCAGCCTGATCTTGTGCGAGTTGGCGGAGTGACTCTCACAGCGGGAAAACCCTTGGGCCCCTGGAAATCCAGAGGTCAACCGGGCTGAGCACACGCTGTGCACTTGTCACGTGCCTCGTGCTAGACCCTTGGCACAGTCTGTCCAGTTCTGTCCTCAGAACCCTCCTCTTCTCCAAGATGGAGACCCTGCCTCTGGCTCGCCTTTGTTGAGCACTTACCGTAAGACCAGGAGCCCACGTCTCCTGCTCCATCAAACGGGAGGAGCAGCCCGGCCACCTCATCTGACCCCTCCGGCTCCTCTTCCTCAGCCACGTTCCTGAGCACAGGGGCCGAGGTCACTGTCAGCCCCACGCCTGCCCAGCCAGCCGAGGGGGACAACGTGACGCTGGCTGTCCACGGGCTTTCGGGAGAGCTGCTTGCCTACACCTGGTACGCTGGGCCCACGCTTAGCCTGGCTTACCTGGTGGCCAGCTACATCGTAAGCACGGGTGACGAGACCCCTGGCCCAGCCCACACGGGGAGGGAGGCTGTGCGCCCCGACGGCAGCCTGGACATCCAGGGCGTCTCGGCCCGGCACTCGGGCACCTACATCCTGCAGACTCTCAACAGGCAGCTTCAGACGGAGGTGGGCTACGGACACCTGCAGGTCTATGGTGAGACACCCCTGGGACCCGGCTCCACCCCAGCTGGGCCTTCCCACCTCCTTCCCATTCCCTCTTTAAAAATAGATAA